TCCGAGGAAAGACCCGCGCCGCAAGCTGTAAAACGGTACACTGCAACAGACCCGCTCACCTTCGGTGAAGGGCTCTGCTGGATAAGGTTGGAGTCAAATGCTTGGGGTGTTGGTAGGGTGGATCCATGCTTCGAGTTGGGGTCAGGTTCCTGTATGGGGACTGGATATGTCAGTCGTCGTGCTATGTTGTAGTTCCATTCTGGCGACTGCTTTGCAGAACGCCAGGGAACGGATCAAACGTGGGTAGTTCCCACAAATTCGGGGAAGGGGCTATGCCCCCAAACCGCTGACATCTATCCGATACCCACAATGTTGTCCCAGACCAGGAACTTCCGAGTGCGTGAATTTAAGGTTTGGGCTTTGAGGCTTAGGAACTTCGGATTACCTGCTTGATGCGAGGAGGCTCAGTGTAATGTGCACAAAAATGGCAACCGTCGCCCTAGAGCCCCTAGATACCTTACATACTTAGGTACGTAGCCACATACCCTCTGCTACGTTATAAGGCCCCTACGTTACACGGGCGGATGGAGCGATTAAAGATGCCGAGGGTGTTTCCGAGTTCTGTGTCACCAAAAACCTTTTCAGTCATTGAAGTGGTTGAACAAGTGGAAGTTTAATAGTTCTCGTCACCGTTTGGTCTGGATGGCTTACAAGATGACCACCGCAAATACGAGCTGATGTCTTCAAAGAGCAGTGCAGATCCCCGTGATTCTTGGCTAATGCGCTTACACGGACCCTAACAGGCTGATTCAGGGTTGAAGGTGTCCATCCTGTGCGGGTGTTCGGGTTTTCCCAGATAACTCTGAAGCCCAAATCCCAAACAAACGTGTATAATTATGCTTCATTAAGCTTGGGTGACGCCATGAACTCCCAAACCCCGAAAAAATGGTGGAGCCATCAACCTAACTAAGCACACGCGCGGCTTAAACCCTAGAATGTAGAACGCCTACATAGATCCCTTCGTACTGAAGCCCCGCACGGGATGGCTTCAATGAGAGTCAGCCACGTGTGGGCGTCACCTGAATCGCTAAGGAGCAACAGGGCACAGGGCTTTTGGGATTTCAGGCACTTGGGAGGTGCAAGGTTTGGGGTTTATGTAGCCGTTTAGATTCGTTCTAGGGTTGAGGGTTAAGTATTCGAGAATCTAGAAAACACCCCAACAGCAACAAGAACGCACTAAAATCCCAACCCCGAAACCCTGAAACTCTAAAGTCATAGGTCTCTCAAACATGATTGTCTGGCTTGGGTTGTAAAAGCCCCCGGGGTATGGAAGCCTCTAGAAGTCGGGCGTGTGCTTGAGGTTAGTGAAGAGGTTCTTTTGCAGCGTCATGGGGGTATGTAATGATAAGGAACCTCGACTACCTTAACCCTAAGACATGGTATTACCAAAGAAATCGGGCTTCAACTGTAGCCAGCCCTTGGGTTTGGGATTTACGGCTTTTGACTGTTGACCCAGCCCTTGGAAGGCGGATCTTCCGGGATTCGCACCGAATTCCGGAGATGTCTCGTTACATCCAAGACCTCAGCCTCTAATCCTAAAGCCTGAATCTAAACCTTCGAAAGGGTTTCAGAATGAAAGGGTAACCCCAGTACAAACCGTGAGTTGCCCCATGCTTACTATAGCTAAACCCTGACAAATGTTGGGTTTCTGACACTCTGACATGGCTTGTGCAAGATTGCTGAGCCAGCTTGACCCAGCTTGCACAGTGGGACCTCGATGAGCCTAGCTAGGAGCCTGTCCGGTTCCAAATCGCCTATTCAGCGGCCAAAAAAAAGATTCCGTGGCTTCTCACACAATCTTCCTGTCGCCCACTTCGGCATATTCACCGTCCAAATTCGTCATGATGAACCGGTTGGCAAGGATGATGGTAAGACGCGCAAGTGTTGTTGTCGACATGGTGGTGGGGATGCTGCTGCCCCATAATGGCGTCACGCAGCATGTAGATCGAAATACGAGGAAAAACCAAACCGTATGGCATGGGTAGTTCTCCAAACAAGGGTCCCTGTTTAGGCCCCCAAAATAACACAGCGCACAAAAATGAACCTAAAAGGGACCATCATTTCGAGAACTACCAGTATACATTATACATGCCATGATACCCTGGCTCAACAAGCAAACGGAAATCCGAGCTATCAACCATTCGGATAAGTTTGGACAAAATCTCCCAGCCCTGACAGCAATATGCGTCCTGAACTACCTAAACAACACCAGGCAAATCATCCTCAGTGCTGACAGAGGCTTCGCCTACAGCGGTGAGCCTTACTGCAGAACCCCCAAACCCCAAACCTGAACCCTAAACCCCAAGGCTCGCCGTCCCTACAACCCTTCACCTGGTTTCGGAGCACGGAGATCAGTCGAGGCACCTCTGTGGGAGCCATCCTCGACAGCTTGACTCCGCGCCGCTTCAACCAAGACTGCCTCAACTGTTTAAGTCAGGGGGCTCATGCAGGAGTTTAAGGCTGCACTTTCATTAGACGGCATAGTCCTTCCATACCTCCTCCTGACCGGGCCACTGCATCTTCGCTCATACTCTCCGACACTCTAGCCGCTGTTAAAGCAATCTCGGCGGCGGCCTAAACCTCAAATCCCAAAGCCTCAGACCCCCGAGTCGACTTTTGCAGCGGTTCTTTGCGAGTCTTCGGTGGAATCACTTGAGGTCGCTCGGGCATCGCGCAGAGCATCCGCCGGACCTGACAACTCTCTAGTTGCTTCCACTTGCATGCTTGGATGTTGTGCTTTCGGGCGTTCACTATGACGGGCTTCAAGGCGGTAGACAACGATTTCGCGCACCAAAACCCCGACATCAGTCACCAAAATTCCGGGTTCAAGCACCACGCCTGCTTCAGTCACCAGAAACCCCTGGCTCAGCCACGACGTCAGCACCACCGAATACACGCAGCAATGCTGATCCGCATCACCCCCAACACAGCTCTGAAAACAGCATATTCTACCTGTCCCTAACATATCACCTCCCTACCATTTCGACATCTTTGACTTTTTCCACCCCAGATATCCCACCCTTGAGCGCCCCACACTGCCTTACCCTACCCTACTCTAACCCCCCACCCTACCCCGCGAAACCACCCCACCCCACCCCCAAACCCTACCCTGCCCTAACCTAGAAGCACTTCCTCGACCCAAAGCACCCTACCCTACCCTCCAAAGCATGTCCCCATGAGCCCGGTCTGTAACTGTTTCCACCCCAGCCACCCTTCCCTACCCTCCCACCCTACCCGATCCTTCCCACCGCCCGATCTTTCCCAACCCCACCCCACATCCTCAAAAACCACCCAATCCCATCCCTCCCCCACCCTACGAAACCACCCCACCCCGCCCAACTCCAACAACCTCCAAAGCACGTCCTCATGAGCCCCTGCCCTCTGTTTGGTGCAAGGTGCTGTGTTGGTGCTTGTTACCGGTGGTGCGTGAAGCTTGGTTGCTTGTAGCGCGGCCGGTTGCAGAAGCAGGGAACTACGGCTTCAAGGCTTGGCATAGGGCATTGGGTTTTGGCGGATTTGCGCTCTACGGCTTAGGGTGCCTGGTATTGCGATGGATGGGAACTAAAAGTCCGTATCATCATCATCGTCATCATCATCACACCACCACGATGAATCTTTCAGGGGAAGCATCGCAAACACACGCACACACACAGAACACAGACACACACACACACACACACACACACACCCGCACACGCACACGCACACACACACACACACACACACACACACACACACACACACACACACACACACACACACACACACACACACACACACACACACACACACACACACACACACACACACACACACACACACACACACACACACACAAACACACACACACACACACACACACACACACACACACACACACACACACACACACACACACACACACACACACACACACACACACACAACACACACACACACACACACACACACACACACACACACACACACACACACACACACACACACACACACACACACACACACACACACACACACACACACACACACAACACACACACACACACACACACACACACACACACACACACACACACACACACACACACACACACACACACACACACACACACACACACACACACACACACACACACACACACACACACACACACACACACACACACACACACACACACACACAAACACACACACACACACACAAACACACACACACACACAGACAAACACACACATCAGAAACACATGTGGTGGATTTGTTCAACTACGGTTCCTTGTCCACCGTTGTTCAGTAGCTACGGTTACCTCAAGACCCAAGCCTGACAGTGGATCCTGATCACATCCCAAACCTGAAGCCCCCCAGACCCTACTTGGAGGAGCCTTTGACTCGTAGAATCCCCGACAATCCTAAAATAATTCCCACAGCCCATCTTGCAAAACCTACATATTAAGTAGACAGAGGGCACAGCAAAACCTGAAAAAAAAAACACCGTTTTGGAGGTCGGAATGATGAGAAATACCAGTCGCTGGTAACCCCCGCATCATTATAACCCTAATGCTCCTCAAATCCTTACTCATCAAGCCCTCGCAGTCTCTCAAATGCGGTCCTTCGGCTTGCGTAGTCGCTGCAATCGGAGATGTTCCTCCTGAAAAGCGTCTCGGGGTTCAGGAGATAGGTCTAGAACGAGCCTGGGAGAGTTTAGGGGGTTGAGCTCAGTGCTTACGATTCAAGCTTTCGAGCTTCAGTTTGATTGCAATGGTAGGAGGCAGGATGATTCGACTCCGATCTGGGCTCCCTGACGCTTGTTCAGCTCGGCTTACACTGCAAATCATGCAGGAGGTTTTTAAGAATGGGAGTTTGAGGGTGTAGGGTTTGGGGTTTGGAAACAGATCGTCTTGCTTGCAGCCTGGGTCCTCATCGTCCAACCCAAATCGAGTCCAGACCGCTGCAACGACATGGGCTCCGCGACCGCGATGATGAGCATACAGCAGGCCATGTGTTATCCAATCCCATAGAAGTTCATCACCAGTTTAACCAGTTTCGTCAGCTTGGTCCGGCTACCAGGAACGGCCAGATGCTCTTCCAAGTATGACTGCGCTGCCTGTAGCCTTGGAGGTTCCTTTTCATCGAGGCACCTACTCGCCACACCTTACCAAAGTTGCTCATTATCAAGGCCCCAGATTAGAGCAACCCGCCTCTCAGGGCTGACTCCTGCCAGGCTCTTTGCAACATCTTCCGGACTCGTGACGTTTCTTCCTTGGCAAGGAAGAACGTATCGGGGATAGTGGTTTCGGGGAGGCCGCACTGTGGAGAAGGCAAAGAAGCACGCACGACCTACAAGTGTCGGCAGGACAACGATCTATTTCCGGATTCTACCCGAAAACTTCGTACCGTACCCTACTGTCTCCGCAAATCTCCGAGCTCCAGAACCCAAACCCTCTAAACCTCAAAAGCTGCAAACCCTAAGCTCCCTGAGCCGTGATGCTGAACTATAAACGGACATAAACCCTAGAATCTCGAAGCCGAGCGTCTCAGCCGGCCCTCGAACATGGCTCCCATGTAGGCCTCGACGAGTCCCGCTTCATAGGGGAACTAGTGGTTAAGCTTTGGAATTCTCTCGAAATCCTCTATAGTGACTATAGTGATTGGGTATGAGGTTTTCCTGTATAAAGAGCTGTATAGGGACCATCTCGGCTTGAACCACTTCAACTTGGACCACTAGCCCTTGAACTTGAACCCTAAGATCCAAGCCTCAATGCTTACTGTCTGTGCTCTACTATAAAGCTGTCGGCCTCTGTCATGGTGGCATCGGGTTCTATGCGAGCCAGCGCCATCTTCTCAAGCACCCTGTCGATCTCCTGGACAGATATTGACGGTTGGAGGCTGACTTTTGAGGCTAAGGGTTTAAACCCTGCAAACCCGATGGCCCAAACGCTGAAGGTCAAGGGTTTAGGGCTCTGAGGGTGCCGCCAGAAACCCCAAAAGCCCAAGCCCAAGAGAACACTCTCCTGAGGTGAGGCTGTCCGATGCGCTGTGAGGGCGTTGAGCAGAGTGAATGTGTCCGGCTGCATATTCTCCTGTCGTTGCCAACCCTTATTAGTGTGTAGAGGGCTCAGTAAAAAGTCTGGGGCCTGGGGTTTTGGATTGAGGGCTTGGGTGTTGCAGCTTGCGCGTCCTAGGGCGGTAGGGTTGTGGGGGATCGTTGCAAGGGTTGCGATTTCTGCCTGCGCAGCTTTGTGTGGATTAAATCTTGGAGACTTTGTGATTCATACAGGGCCTTCAAAATTCAAGAGGATCTGGTCTTTATCAACTAGTTCGCCTTCTAAATACTGTTCATGATGACACTGGAGTCCTGCACCATGTAGTCAAGAAAGTACGAAGCTGCCGCGTGCCTGCCCTTCTGATCCGACGTCGTACATGCCCGTATGGCGGCGGAGCAGTGAAAGCGGTCCGGCAGGATACGCTGTTGCCGTATAACGTCTAACGCAGAAGCAGCCAATGAGATGTTGCCAAGGAGTACAGATGCTTGAAGCCTTGTAGTGACATCAACATCCTTCGCCCAGCCTTTCGTGTCAATTTCCTGCCAAACGGCCTCTGCCTGCAGCCTGTCCCGCAGCTTTCTGAAGAGCCTCAAGCCGGTCAACAAGAAGTTCAGGTCCACTTCAGCTGTGTCGTTAAACCGTTTCTTAAATATGGTGGCCCCGTGGGCATACTGCCCACAGCTGTAAGCGGCCTCCATGGCAGCATCATAAACCTCCGGGGCGGTGCCATTGTAGCCTTCCCAATAACGCTGCACCTCCGACCATCGGCCTCTCGGTTTTCAGGGGATTTCGACCGATTACCTCAACCTGCCAACATTTCAGGATGTCAGGATGGCTTCAGGTGCTTTTCCGGCCCTCGAAATGTCAAAAGAAAAACTGCGGGGTCCTAAGCCTTGTGACTTACAGAGCCGTTAAAACCATCGACGAGTTCAGGGTTTCCTCATTGTGATTCTTCGGACCGCCTTGTAAGCCAGCATCTTTCATGATGTTCACGAGGAGCCGCTCATAGGGCGAAAGATGCCGATTTTTCGGCCTCCTCGGTTGACTCCGTTTCAACATGGCTTCGGCGACTGGGTGTTGGCTTCTCAAAAACAGTGGCATATTCATGCCTGTAAAGGACAGTCCATGGTTTAGGAATGTTTAGGGTATAGTCCGGGGTGGCTCCCACACAACTTTTGAAAAACACAACTCAAATTGCAACACAAAGCATCCCCGCTGCGGTGCGGGAACACACACGCAATGACCCGATGACCCTTCACATGTGTTTGTCCGCGTTCCCATCCTACAGAGATATTGAAACTCCACCCTAAGCTGTTTTAGGAGTGTGCGAAGCATTCATTTTGGAAGCCACCCAAACACAAAGCACTTGCACGCCCTATAAAGGCAAAACAAACAAACGCAACACAGCGACACAACTGTAAACCGGTGCCTCCACTGCACTTTGAATATAGTCTGATTCTGCTATATAATGTGATCCGTGTGTATGGTGCACTCCTCGCTACACGACCTTGCACTCAGATATGTTCTAACACAATCAAACAACTCCTCAGGTGACACAAGAGAGTGAAGCCGAAGGTCCTGACACCCTGAACTCTAAGCCCAACTTCTTAGCCCGTAAACCCTGCCATAGCCATCAAACCAGCTATATACCACTAACCATGCACCCAACATGCTGAGCCCAAACTAGATCTAGACCTTTGAGCCTTGGAAGACAAGGCGCGCTCCGACACCGGCTGGCACCACACAGAGGCTCCAGGGGCCACACGTCAGGGTCACCACCACCAAAAGGAGAAGAAAGCGCCGAGCTCTCCGAGGCATCCGAGCTCAAAGACGTTGCGCTCGTGTCGGCTTTAGGGGGCATTTACTTCCAGGGCTTAGTGCTGGGGGTTGAAAACAACTCAGAGAAGAAGAAGCTTATTCTTGTTGACGTTTGTCGCTGCTGTTTCGCAGCATCGTCACCAGTCGTCATGCCAAACAATAACAACGTCTTCCATCTCTATTGCTGCTTTTGATTTGAGTCTTTGAAGTCAACTTCGGCATCAGAGTTTGATTCGGGCTAAACAGGGCTGCGTGTGACAGTACCTTAAACCAGCCCCAACTTGCTCCGCATTTTGACCGTGCTCAAGTCCTGCTGGTACTAGGGAGGGCCTAGGGTCTTTGACGCGTATAGGAAGGGCAGAGATGCTAATATCCTATCGGGTGAGTGGATCCCGGCTGAGGACCGTTCTCAAATCCTTTCGTCCCGCTGCTCGCGGTCTTCAACTCTGAGCCCTGAACTCTGAAGCCCAAACCTCCTGTCAACAGTGCCGCAAGACATCGGGTCAACCCTACACTGTGGAAGACATCAGCCTGTGGAGATGTACGACTGCCACATGCCTGGTGCGTTACACTGAAATGCCTCGAAGGTACGGCTGGAATGTATCCGAAAGTCTTCGAGCCGTTCTCGAATTCCGTCTTGAAGGTTCAAGGATCCGAACAACAGGTGAATATTGCTCTACATGTCGATACCGCAATAATCCTCCTCAAGAGTCCCATTCCAAGCTAACCAGCAGCTAGGTCCCGGGAAGGTTCAGCCTTCAGGAAGCCCGGAATGGACTCTATAAAGGACAGCCTCAAGAACCCCCAATGATCAAGAAAAGACGCTCTTGATGAACCGGAACCTCAGTTGAATGCTTTGTGGGCTGCAGGGAGAATCTTGATGCTCATCGGACCTGCAACTGCAGGAGTTCTGTACGCAGGCCTCTGACTTGACCCGTGAGGTTGAAAAAAAGACGGACACTTCAGCTCGGTGTATGTCGAGGTATAAGGTAAATGCACGACAACGAATGCTTCAAGCACGTCGCCGAAGGCATTTATGCGTCAAGGAAGTTAATTGACTGAAATCAACTCCTTGGGCTTCTACATCATCCAGAAAGTCAAGTGCAAACTGCACTCGGTCGGGGCTTGTGCCCTGTATGCGCTCCGCCACGTCCGATACGCTCCAAGCATCTCGGAGGCGACCTTGGAATATAGCCCCCAAGAAGGTCTCCACAAACAGGCTATTGGGAATCACCTTTTGCTCAGCCAGTGTGGATAGCACCTGTTTGGTCTCTGGCAGAGGAGCCCGACGATGAGCTCCGGCGAAGCTAGTAAAGGTCACGATGTTGGGCTGCAAGTTTTCTTCAATCATCTTGTTCAGCAGGACATTGGCTTCCGTGTAACTGTTGTTCTCGCCGGAGTTTTTGCATGCATTGATTGCAGACGAGAACTGCATGACATCGACCGGCAAGCTTGCATTCTGCAGATATTCAAGCACTGATGCAGCCGCCCCGATGTCGCCCATTTCAGACGCAGCATCTATCCGTGCAGTCGCCGGAAATTTGTCCATCCATCCTTTTGAAAGAACCTCCTGCCAAATCGCCTCGACGCTGTCTGCATCATGCAATTTCCCGAAGATCTTCATGCCATGGACAAGAATGACTTGGTTGATTTCAGCATCGTTCACAGTGCGCAACTTTGTGTACATCTCTGCTGCTTCCGAGTAACGTCTGCAGCGGTACGCAGCCTGCATAGCAGCACCGTGGACTGGCACGGCGATGCCTTTATAGTCCTGGTAAAGTCGCCAAACTTGCTTCCAACGGCCTTTTAGGCCAGCAGCCTTGAGCTTGCCTGCCAGTACGCTCTCCTCTTGCGAAACAGCACGCCAAGATTTCGCGTCTGTTACCCTCTCACCGATTCCGAGGCCGCTGCGCTCCCTCATGACACTGGCTGTGGCCTGCTTGGGGGACTTCCGAGCTTTGCCAGGTGCACTGAAAGCAAGTCCTCCCTCCCGGCTCGTCACCAATAGAGCAAAGACTGCGAAGAGGAGAAGGGCGAGATGAGGCCCGTGGCATTGCGGCCGGCACATCGGCATTGGCTTTGAAGACTAACTTGAAATCCAGAAGCTCCGAACCGTTTCACTGCCTGAGCCGTCAGCAGCATGAGGCCTGAGAATTCGCACTGGATCTGTGTAGGCTATCCCCTGCACCCAGACCTGAAAGGCTTCGTTTGTGAGTTGCTCACGGTTCGGGTTTGGGGGTTTCAGGCTTTGCCTAGGTTCTCATATGAACACTGCTATTGCAAACAGGACATCCTGTAATTCAGTAGCCATACTGGAAGCACAAGAACGCCCCAACCCTAGAACGATCAGAGGCTGTAGTTCCCCTTCTGAGTCCGCAAGCCCAAGTCTGGTGAAGGGCCAGCCCAGGACCTGACTCAATGGGTGCTTTCGACTCGGGAGCTGCATTGGTCTTCGGTCAGTTTAAGGCTAGGACCGCTAGGATTGAGGCTTCAGGGTTTAGGGCGCGTGGTTGACCCTTGAGTGAGGGTTGGGAGTCCTGCATATCCATCAAGATGACGGTGGCTTCCACGACACCCTCCTCATCTCTACGACCACGGCAAAGACAAGATTCGTCAATATCGTCGCATCTCTTGTTTTTGCTATCCATCAGCATAAGTTTGCAGAGGCCGAACAGTAATCAGAATACTGGCCGTGATGACGATGGTGATGAAGATTTCATTGTGAAGAACTGGCCACCTCTTTCACGACACGTTGTGCAAACTGCTGCCCATCACGCGTGTCGACTCATGCTGTTATCATTCCGAGGAGCATGCTCCATACTTGCATACTTGCTCTGGCGATCGCAAGTCTGCTTGAAAGCATGTTCGTTTCGGGTCGGGGCTGAATGGACTTGGTGAACTGGTGGCTTGGGGTCTCAAGGTTTGAGCTGAGCGTTTGGGAAGCGAGTAGTCTTACACCTGGGGGCTGCCATCTAACACACCCTCAAGGCCCTAAGTGGTTGGGTCTCACAAGGCCAGCAGCTGCAAAAAAACACTGGCAACAATTGAAAATCATCAGTTTCCTGGTCAACAATAGGTACCCTTCTCCTCACACCGAAACCAGGTCTTGAGCCCCATGTCGCAATCCTGCGAGTTCACGGTCAATGCCACGTAAACGGTTCTTGCACGATCTGGCCGTTCACATCGGGTAGCTTCCCCTAGTGACTTAGTGATGCTAAGACGGTATAGCACCTTGCTTTACACCCTAAACCCTGAAGCTGAGGAGACGCGTACAGGGACCAATTACTGACGCATGCAGCGCAAGCCTTGGATGCCCTTCGGACTTCTTCCTCATCATCCTGCAGCAAGCAGGGCCATGCTCTTGGGAGAGAATGCACGGAGGCACTATCGTTTCATCTTTAATGCCTGGAAACTAGGCATTGGAGCAGAGACTAAGCTCAAAAAGTCTCGACGCCCTTCTGAGCTTCCATGGAAGTTAGTCTGTTGAGGGCTTCAGGTGTTGGTTTCAGGCTTTTGAACTCGGGTCCAAAGTGTCGAGCTCGGGGTCCGCTATGGTGTCTATATATATATATATATGTATGAGTCATATGAGACGTTAGAACATGTCTCGTCAATGGTTCTTTGTTGGTTGGGGTGTGGGTACGAGGTAAAATTGAAAAGTTTGGACATTGCAAACCCCTAAACCAGAAGAACCGCAACATAACAAAGCGAGCATCCTTGGAAACCGATGCAAATCCTCAACTCCCGAAACCTTGAAGCTCGCCAAAGAATCGTTGAAGCCGCAACCCTGAAACCCTAAAAGCCCTGCACCCAAAACCAGAAACTCGCCAACCCCTAAACCATTGAAGCCCCTGATCCCTCAAATTAGCTTAATCTCAACACACTAAAGCTGTAGCCACTAGTCACTAACCGCACTTGAACCCTCCCAGCCCCAACCAAACCCGAAGACTTCTTCAGAACTAACACCCCCCCCCCCCCCTTCTTTGGAGCCCCATAGCTGCCATAGCTAAAGACACCACCCCCGGGTCCAGCCCACTACCCGCTTCTGTCCTTGGGACTTCGGAGCTCGGGATCGCTACACGCAGGGCCACCGAGACGCCGAGCCAAACCTGTCGCTTCTCCGGTTTAGGGCGGTTTAGGGTTCAGGATGTGACGGTTGCCATGCGCATCCAAACGTTGCGTGTCGTTGAAACAAAGCGGGAGAGAGCGCCGGCGCAGTCTCGAATTGCAGGCTGTGTTCTGGGTCTGTATTCAAGTATTGTTTCCATCCAAGTAGATCCCTTCTTTGGTCTGAGGCGGTGTGGCCTAGGTGTGCTTTGAGAGCTGGTAATATCCATTCTGTTACCGACTCCAGCCGATATCTCTCGGGGTGTCCTCCGCGAGCAGACTTAGTAAACTCAATGCGATCCTTTCTCTTGGTGAGAACTTGACATGATAGGTGGTGTAACCAAGATTTGGCAGAGTTGAGAAAATTGCTGTAGTAGGAGCTGCAGGGTAGGGAGGGTAGGGTTGAGTGTCTTTGGGTTTGGGCGTTTAGGGGTTTAGGCTTTGAGGGTGTTCTTTCTCTCTCCTGCAGCTGCTAGGGTTAACGAGGCTTAAGGGGTTTGGGGGGATGTTCGTCTTGTGCTTTGTGTCCTTTGAATTTCGTTTGTGTGGTGTTGTTGATCTGTCTGGATGTTGTTTTGTGGTGTATGTAAGTGCCTTCTTGTCTCTCGGTCCTGTGAGTCTTTCTAGGGGGGCGTGTTCTGGGTCTTGGGTTTAAGGCTTAAGGATGGCGGTTTAATATCTGACGGCTTGCTTTTAGGACTTCGGATTGAAAATTTCGCTGTGCAATCTTAGGGGTCAGGGCATAGGGTGACATTGGTCTTGCGAATTACAGGAGCCTCCAAGTACGGTACAGCGTTAGTCATTGAGAAACCGCTGCTGCAGTTTAAGCATCAGGTTACGAATTCAAGCGCGAGAGCGCTGTGCACATGCGTGCATGCAAACCGCAATCGAGAAGCCCCACTTCCGAAGAACCGGTGCCATCCGACACTAGGCTTTTTCGGGATTTAGGGTTTACCGTGCAGGGTGCCATCTAACAGCTTTTGGGTTTGGTTGAATGCCTCAGATGTTTAGGGTCTAGAGCTTGGAGGTTCGCTTGAGAGTCTTGGGTTTTGGACTCAGCAGAAGTGTCATCAGAACATGCAAGAAGCCTTACTGTGCTCAACCGATAGACATGACTACACTCCCGACTAAGACTAAGTACTCCTCACTCATCGAAGCTCCCCCAACCATTTCAACAACCTCCACAGAAACTTCCGCGACCCTACGAGTAGCCCAATCGTCTAATGCACAACGAAACTGATGCGACAAAGTCCACCGGACCCAACTGCCCCGAAAAAATCCTGGGCCTGTGGTAGCGCTCAGGAAAGCGACCAATGCCTGCCGCCACACCTTCAGCTGGCTTTTGTGATTGCCCCTACATGGGCGGTTCATAAAATAGTGGGCTCCTATGACGGACGGACACGAACTAACCCCTAATACAATGAGCAGACCTGATTGCTAAGAACCTAAGATGCCCTTATGACCTGATGCCAACAGCAAAGCGCTCGGAGGTTTTCAGCAAAACCCCCAACTAGGCTTGAAGACCTAATCGTGCAAACGCGGCGATCCCAAGCCGTGAATTGTGAGGATCCCGTAACCCTAGAAAAATGGTAGGGCACCAAAACCTTGTTCAGCTACAAGCTGAGGATGCTCTTGTCTACGGTTCTGTTGCAAGACCGGCCAAGAGAATAGGGCTACAACTCGGAGACCTCGACTGGACCTAAACCGAATACAACGTAGGAAAGTCACGTTTTGTAAGCCATGGAATCGAGCTCCGCAACCATTACGCCATGAAGTCGTCAAGCATCCGAAATGCCTGAAACCTCAATTCGAAATGCAATCGTATCTGCACAATAACCCTAAGCCGTAACCGCAACCGAAGTTATGAACCCCAAACCACAAAACAACACAAAAACAACTACCTTAAACCTGAAATGCCGAAACCCCAAACACAAAAAACACCCTAAGCCAGAAACCTGAAGGCCGCTGCTGATGCCCTAAACCCAAGCTACAAAACACGAAACACAGTAAAACTACAACCCCCCCCCCACCGCACACACACACACGCACACACACACACACACACACAGACAGACAGACACAGTTGAACACACACAAACACACCCCTAGAAAACCCAAACCTTAGATCCGAAAACGTTGCTCGCTTGGGGCGGCAGCCCTTGAAGGGCCAAGTCCGCCGAGGATGAGGATGGGAAGCCTCCATCACCAGATGTTTCAAAACAGGGGCTACCGAAGTGACGTGACTGTCCTAGTCACTGCTTCTGACCTGACTGACTTTTAGCAAGGATTTTGGCAAAGCGGTTGGGATGCCCGTGTCTGTATGTGACGGGAACTTCGGATTGTACTCAGACTGTAGGGCTGAAGTTTCCAACAAGGACAAATATGAGCGGTCGAATGCGACTAGCAATGACATCCCGACAAGGAACAGTTTCCGACAAACTTACAAAGTTCTGCCGATCCTCTACGCAGGCTGGGGTTCAGGACGCCAGGTTTCTGACGGTACACAGCCATATGACCATATGGCTAGACCACAAAGACATCAAGCCAAAACCAAGCCAAGAAAGCCCAATCTCCAACAAACCCACATAAAAGCCCAGCAACCCAACAGCCCGAAGCCCATACGTAACCCCCAGAACAAACGCTTCACGTAGCTGTCGTCCGCACCCACACAGCGTCACTCCCGGCAGCACACAAGCCATGAAGATGAAGACGCGAGCGACCTATCTGCTAAAACGATGAGGACCATTCAAGTCAAGGCTTGGTTTAGGGTTCAAGAGTCCGGCTTGATAGAACGTACAGTTAAAAGGTTCAGAAGTTGAGTTATGGTTCGGAACTCAAGGCTTAAGGTTCTGAGTCAGAACTCCTCTGGTTTTCACACGGTACATTCTCAAAGGGAAATGCCAGCTGACAGATTGAGAGATCCACTGAGCCTTCAGCAGCCCGGTCAAAATCGGTTTCCATGAATTT